TGAGAGATAGTAGGAATTGCCAATGCTGGAGTCTGAGACAACAAGGTGTAGAGCTGGATGAAGAGAGCAGGCCAGGCAGCACCAGAGGAGCAGTAAAGCTGATATTTCGGGTCTGGACCCTTCTTCAGAAAATGTGAGCACATTTGTTCCTTAAGCCATCAGTCACTGGCAGTTTGGATATGCCTACTTGTGATGGAGATGCTGTTTTTGAGGTACTTAACCTGAATAATGTTAGATATCGGCCCATCTGGAGCACCATGTCCACCTTTGGTGCAGAGGAGATTTACCAGGATGTTGCCTGGAATGGAGGGAAGGTCTTACGAGGAAAGGTTGAGAGAGCTAGGGCTTTTCTCTTTAGAACGATAAAGGATGAGAGGTGACTTGATAGAGGTATCAGAGGTATAGATAGAGTGGACAGCCAGAGACATTTTCCTAGGGTGGAGGTAGCTATTACGAGGGGGCATAGTTTTAAATTGAGTGGGGGTAGATATAGGGGAGACATCAGAGGTAGGTTCTTTACACGGAGAGTGGTCGGGGCGTGGAATGCATTGCCGGAGAGGGTAGTGGAGTCGGCCCCATTAGGGACATTTAAGCGGCTATTAGATAGGCATATGGATGATAGTAAAGGTAGGGGTGGAGGTTAGATAGACCTTAGGATTAGGGTAAAAGTTCGGCACAACATCGTGGGCCGAAGGGCCTGTACTGTGCTGTACAGTCCTATGTTCTATGTTCTGACCAGTCTGATGTGACTGGTGCAGTTATCCGAGAACACAGGGAGGTAAATTTCCTTCCTGCTTTTAGCTCACCCACCATACAGGAACAGCACATAAACCTGAAGAATACTGGTTGGAAAATATTTTTCTTCCATTTGTGCACCTTTAACAAGCAATTCCTGAGCTATTTTCCAAACAGACCCATTTTAATACTTGGAAAGTAATGTGACCCCAGACATGAACACAAAAAAAAAGAAAGTGCATAATAAAATTCAATGTATAGTACAGCATATAAATATGAACATTTGTGTTTTTAAAGGACATTGTAAAAAGTTACTGTTTTATATACTGATTAGACTATTACTTCATTTGATTCACTCCATCTTATTGGCTTTGGCTCGGAAGTAGGGACTAAGCACAAGTTGTGAGGTCAAATGTCAGAGCCCAGATTGTTCTGCAGCGCATGAGTCATGTGACTGAGCTCAGCTCAGCTGCAGAAGCATCACCTCTGGGTTCATCATAGAATCCCTACAGTAGGAAAAGAAGCCATATGGCCCATTGAGTCGGCACTGACTCTCCAAAGAGCATTCCACCCAGACCCAGCCCAAGCCTCCCCCCACCATATCCCTGTAACTTCACATTTCCCATGGCTAACCCACCTAAGCCTGCACATCCCTGGATTCTATGGGGCAACTTATCATGGCCAATCCACCCTAACCTGCAAACCTTTGGACTGTGGGAGGAAACCGGATCACCTGGAGGAAACCCATGCAGAAACAGGGAGAATGTGCAAACTCCACACACAGTCGCCTGAGGCTGGAATCAAACCCGGTCCCTGGTGCTGTGAGGCAGCAGTGCTAACCACTGAGCCACCATGCCACCCAAAAGGTTCATGGTTGGGGCCAGGCTCCAATTTGAGCAGGAGCCCAGTCCATAGCAAGAGAGACTGAGAGGTGAGTAGGACAAGGGCAGGGCTTGGGCTTCAGTGCCAATGTGGGATGCACTCTCAGAGGAAGGTTGTGGGGGCTGGGGGTTTGGGCTGTGGGTGTCACAACCCTACTTGTCCTTTCTGCAACCCTAACTGGGTTCCATAGAATGGAAACCATTACCTTATACCTTCAAGAAATGTGCTTGGCAACGTCTTAAGGGTTGCTACTGCTGTGGCTACATATTTCAGGGACTGGTGATGAGGTAACTGTGGAGGTCTGACAATCAAACCTCAAGCATTATGTCCCATCAGGGCAACCGTAGACTAGTATCATTTAGGGTTTGCTACTTCCTTGGACAGAGCAGTGAGCTGATGAGCTGTGTATTGTCAACTAGACCTGTGTTTTCTAGGATCAAAAAGACTGAGTGGTGATCTCATCGAGAGATGTAAAACTCTCCAGTGGTTTGTCAGGGTAACTGCTGGGTGGATGTTCCTTAAATAAACCCATGGAGAATGCTGGAGAAACTTGGCAGATCTGGCAGCATCTATGGAGAGAGAGAGAGAAACAGAGTTGACCTTTCCCTCTGATGTTTCTTCCTGGCTGGAGAATCTGTCTCAGTCTCAGATATGGGAGTCACCTATTTAAGACTGAGATAAGCAGCAATTGCTTCAGGGTTTTGGACCTTTCCAACTCTGTTCCTTACAGCTGTTGATAATTGAGACTGAGGTTGACGGATCTTTAGGTACTTGGAACATTGGGGGATGTGGGAATAGTACAGGAAGGTGGCTGAGGTATAAAATCAGCCACTTCGCTTTTTGAATCCGCTCCAAATGATGTGATGGAATTAAGCTTCACGCTGTAAGGGATAGTAGAAAGCTACATTTCACCATTGCCACTCTGTTACAGTTTAACGGTGTGAGCAAGTGCACCGTGTGTCATAGTGCACTCCTTATTGGGGATGAAGTCAGATGAGCAATTTTTCACTCTTATCTAATGTTTATACCCTGGTTTTAATCTACCGTGTAATTAATAATTGAAAACTGAAGAGATTGGTAGCTTGTGGATATATTAAAATGAGATAATCAGCCTGTCATTCCTCCTGTAAAACAGTGGAGAAACAACAGCATCTCTGACAAGTTTCCTGTTGACAGAAGTGTTTTTTTTCACTGCTGGGAATCCTGACAATGTGACTCTGCAGTGAACTAGGCTCCTGAAGAAGACCACTTTGATGAATTCATGCTAATGAGTATGTTTGGGCATCAGTATTAAGCAATCACTGTTGTCCGTAACCTTGGTTCACACAAACTGAACTTGTGCTGGTGATCCCTTCCCATAGCTGCTATTGACTGACTCCTTTAGAACTAACAGATTGGATGTGAAATTACATATTAAATATTAATAGCGTAGCTGTGGGCTTAATACATTCCTTGTTTCTTCATTGAATTTGCATGTACATTGCTTCTCCTTTCATTTTATCGTTCATCATTCAGCCATGTACATTCATCTTACTCCACCCTGGCTCTGGATTGCTGAATACAGGATTATCTCTGTTGTGTCAGCTCCCCTTCACTGTAAAGTATGGAAAATGAGACCCTTTCAATATTCTGAACATGCATCACTTTGTATCTCCCTTCAAGACAGTGGCAAGGAAGACAAATGGTGGCTATGCCGCTGAGTCTGCGCTCGCTGAGAAACACTGAACAACCTCATTCCACTCTCTCTCTGAAGCTCATTTCGTTCTTGAGTTTATCATTTGTCACAGCTCACACACCCAAGTTGCGAGTCAGAACAGAAATAAATATTCGAAAGGACGGATTCCTTCAGGACTCACTTCAACTAATTCCTGCATCTGTTCTAATCCCTGCAGACTCCATACTGTTTGACTGAGCTGGGGATCATTATCTGATTATTAGTTTTTTTTTGTTTAATTAGGGAATATGATTTGCTGGCAGAATTACAAATAAAATGAAGCTGTGTCTGATTAATGATATCAGATGACACAATTATTTGACCTGGAGATCTGTCTCATAATATTTCAGATGAGGTTGTTCTGCAGCTCTACAATGTCTGCTTAAGACTGAATAAAATATACGGGAGGCTCACAACTCTGTTGTATAAGGAAATTTAAAACAGCCTGTTACTTAGTAACGTATTATGATCAAGGTTTTGGTGTGCCAAAGTATTGGCATATAGTGTGTGCATTACAGAACTTATCAGTAATTATTTATAAATTATCCTGAATACCTTTTGTTGTCTCTGGGTGATGTGTTGTAATCCTCAGTGAATCAAACCTAAGATGAACAGAGCAAAGTGCTTACATTGTACTTACAACACAGAAACAGGCCATTCCACTGAACAAATCGATTAATGTTCCATATGAGCTTCCTCTCACATTTCACCGTCTAAACTAAACAATAGATCTGTCTATTTATTTCTCCTTCATTTGTTAATCAAGGTTTTCCTTCAGTGTACCTAGACACCCAGGAGGTAGAGACTTCCCCATTCGGACCATTATCAAGTTTCCTCTGGATTACTTATGCCCTTCATGGCCATTCATTTTCACCTGTTCCCAGCCTCTCTTCTCATCGCTTCTTGACATGAGGCGAAGGTTGGCCGCAAGAACAGCCCGTGGCAAAACCTGCAGACCCTTTAAGATGTCGGGGGCTGTTACACTATAGCTAATGGGTGGTGGTGGATGATGAGGAGGAGATTGTCCTGCTCTTCTGTGTTGGAAAGGTCTAGATAATCAACCTGTTTGGCCATGAGATGAACACACCTTGCTTGACCATGAAGTCCTTGAGTGGGACTTGAACCCACATCTCCTGGCTCAGAGGCAGGGGCACGAAACACTATGCCACAAAACCTCTCCTCTTTCCATCCTTATTGCCATCAGCACTCTTCCTTCCCCTTTCTACCTGAGTCTTGCTGCCAGTAAACCAGACCAGAGCCTGAGTCTCCTCAATGCTCATCCTAAAAGCCGTGATTCTTTTCCCTACATATCACAGGCAGGATGGCCACATGGCCCATTATGTCTGTGCTGGCTCTTTGAAAGTGCTATCCAATTAATTTTACTCTCCTCACATCTCTGCTTTTTACTCTCATTTATGAATGTATCCAGTTGGTTAAGAAACAAAAAAACTGCAGATGCTGGAATTCAAAGTCGACAAACAGGAGGTTGGAAAAACACAGCAAGCCAGGCAGAAGGGTAATACATGAAATAATACCTCCTCCAGATGCTGCCTGGCCTGCTGTGTTTTTCTAGCCTCCTGTTTGCCTCTCTATGTATCCAACTTCCTTTATAAAAATTGTATTGAAGTGCTCTCATGACAAAAATTATAACTGGTGTGTTTATTCCCAGGTTGATCGGATTATCTTCTGTGTTTTCTTGGAAAGTGACCATAAGATCTACAAGGAGAAGATGCTTCACCATTTTCCAATAGGTACGTTATCTGAACATGTTATTTGATCTCTGCCACAGAAAGTGGTTCAGCCCAAAACATTGAATGTCTTCAAGAAATAGTTGGAGAAAGGTCTTAGAGCTAGAAGGATCAAAGGGTATGGAGAGAAAGCAGGAACAGGGGACTGAGGTGGATGATCAGCCATGATCATATTGAATGGTGGAGTAGGCTCAAAGGGCTGAATGGCCTCCTGTTCCCAATGTTTCTACATGCAATGCCACAAACAACTGTTTGATGCTTGATTCTTGTTAGTAATTAGGTTGTATGAAACGCTAGTGGAGAGAGGATCACAGAGATTACATGAGGGCTTTCTATCTCTCCAGATTAGAATCGCAAATTCCTTATTTCAGTCACCATCATGAACCTTGGCGCAGGGCAAAAGAAAGATGACACGTTTTACCTTTCAGGATATGTCTCCATCTCTATCTGCATAAATCAGCAACAGAGAATGGCATTGGAGCAACCATGGCAATAAGCCAGTAAGGACCTTATTATACCTTCCACACTCTCAGTCACAGAACAATGAATGAACAATATTTTACAGATCAAATCAGAAAATTATTTATGTTCCGCTTCCTCCTCCATCTCCCTAAGTGTTAGTCGCATAGCAACCTATATCCAAGGCTGGGATAGAGAGATTTTTAACCAGAAAGGGAATTGAGCTTTATGGGGAAAAGGCAGGAAAGTGAAGTTGTGGATTATCAGATCAGCAATGGTCTCATGGAATGGCACAGCAGACTCGATGGACTGAATGGCCTACTTCTGCTCCTACATCTGATGGGTAGGAGGCAAAAGTAACACATTGCAGATGTTGGAAATCTGAAATTGAAACGGAAAATATTGGAAGTACTCAGCAGGTCGGGCAATGTCTTCAGAGAAAGTGACAGCGATAATATTTCAGGTCGATTACATCGCTTTAGAAATGGCGAACGTTGGTGATGGGTCAGGGTTTAAGGAAGTGCAGAGGGAGGAGGGAAAGAAAGAATCAAAGGAATGGGCTGTGGTAGTATGGGGGGGAGGTGGGGGGCATGCGGAGTGATTAAATGACCAGAGGGATGATGGGTGAAGTCACCAATGACTGGTACTGATGGATAGAAGGATGCAGCTACCTTATGACTGGGTCTGAGGATTGAATTGGTTTACAGTACTTTGGGAATAAACTGCTGCTGAGTCTTAACAAGAAGAGATTCCTGTCTGAGCAAGATATAGTTCATTGTGCAAATAAGAAAGTCAGTACAAGTTACATTGGATCAATTGACAGAGTTTCAAGGACAATGAGGAAATGTGTTGGGAGAGAACTCTGCTCTGCATACAATCCTAAAATGTACTGTCTTATTCCCATCTGAGCCACAATAACATCATTCGAGTCAATGGGGCCTAATGCATTCTCCCTTTCAGAAACATTATGTTCAACAGCATCCCTCTCAACAATGTTTAAAAGACATTTGGATAAGTACATGGATAGGAAATGTTTGGAGGGATATGGGCAGGAGAAGGCAGGTGGGCTAGTTTGGTTCGGGATTATGTTCGGCACGGACTGGTTGGGCCGAAGGGTCTGTTTCCATGTTGTATGACTCTATGACTCTCCAGGATTGTTCCCCAGAGTTAACACTTACCACTCTTCCTGACCCTGTGTTGTCTGTCAAATCTCCCTGCACTGAAATGAAAGTGTCGTGGAGGCAGGTTCAGTTGAGGTAATTAAGATAGCATTGGATGAGGATTTGGATAGAAATGGCATGCAAGGGTATTGGGGCGAAAGCTGGAGATTGGCCCTAGAAAATGATGCTCACTTAATGAGCCAGTACAGGCGTGATGGGCTGAATGGCCTCTTTTACTGCTGTAACAATTCTGGGATTCTGTGATCTTCAATAACACCATTTACCGACCTCATGGGAATGCAATGCTTTGAAGAAATGGCTCCACGCCACCTTCTCCACAGAAACTAGGGATGGTCAGTAAGTGTTACCCTAACTGTCAGCGCAGGAATGCGTAGATTTTTAAAAAGGATATCCGATAGCTTCATTTCCCTTCTAGGTGACATCGTTAGTGCTGTGTAGCTTCTGCTGAAGCGCTGTTGTTCTGTCCCGCTCTGACCTTATATGGTCCAGTCTATCATGGTGGGCAAACAGTAGTTATCCTAACAGCATCATTCACTGATGCCAGGCAATAAACACCACCAAGAAGACACTGTACACCCCAACACACTGGCCACCCTGCCCTATGTTAGAAACACATCAGAACTGACTACAAAGATAGTAGGAACTGCCAATGCTGGAGAATCTGAGATAACAAGGTGTAGAGCTGGATGAACACAGCAGGCCAAGCAGCATCAGAGAAGCAGGAAAGCTGACGTTTCGGCCCTAGACCCTTCTTCAGGAATGGGGGAGGGGAAGGGGGTTCTGAAATAAGTAGGGAGAGAGGGGGAGGCGGATAGAAGATGGATAGAGGAGACGATAGATGGAGAGGAGACAGACAGGTCAAGGAGGTGGGGTTGGAGCCAGTAAAGGTGAGTGTAGGTGGGGAGTTAGGGAGGGGATAGGTCAGTCTAGGGACAACGGACGGGTCAAGGGGGCGGGATGAGGCTAGTAGGTAGGAGATGAGGGTGGGGCTTGAGGTGGGAGGAGGGGATAGGTGGGAGGAAGGACAGGTTAGAGGGAGGGGAGATTTTGAAACTTGTGAAGTCCACATTGATACCATTGGGCTGCAGGGTTCCCAAGCGGAATATGAGTTGCTGTTCCTGCAACCTTCGGGTGGCATCGTTGTGGCACTGCAGGAGGCCCAGGATGCACATGTCGTCTGAGGAATGGGAGGGGGAGTTGAAATGGTTCGCGACTGGGAGGTGCAGTTGTTTATTGCAAACCGAGCGTAGGTGTTCCGCAAAACAGTCCCCAAGCCTCCGCTTGGTTTCCCTGATGTAGAGGAGGCCACATCGGGAACAGCGGATACAGTATACCACATTGGCAGATGTGCAGGTGAACATCTGTTTGATGTGGAAGGTCTTCAAAATCTCCCCTCCCCCGACCACATCCCAAAACCAGCCTAGCTGGTCCCCGCCTCCCTAACCTGCCCCTCCTCCCACCTCAAGCCCCACCCCCATCTCCTACCTACTAACATCACCCCACCCCCTTGACCTGTCCGTCCTCCCTGAACTGACTACAAGACTGCTACAGCCTCTTGGAATAAGGATAGCACACAAACCAATAGCCACGCTTCACCAGTTACTCTCAAAGATGAAACATCCCACTTTGAGCAGAACAAATGTGGTCTTTAAAATACCATGCAGCAACTGTGAGAAACATTACATTTGGACAGATGGGCAGGAAACCCACCACCAGGATGCATGAACACCAACTCACAGCAAAACAGCAAGACCAACTCTCCCTTGTTTCAATAAACTCCGACATAGAAGGACATCAATTTGACTGGGACAAAGTTACAGTACTAGGACAGGCGAGACAGAGACGGGCACGGGAATTCCTGGAGGCCTGGTTTCCAACCACCGATGCAATTAACAAACATGTTGAAGTAGTCCCCATCTACATACCAGTATGGTACAAGACTGCCCACCATGACATACTGGACCATATAAATTCAGAGCGGGACAGAACAACAGCACTACACAGCACTGACGATGTCACCTAGAAGGGAGATGAAACATTTTTGCCTGAAAGCCAATCAGCTCGGCAAACCAACCAACAATTCCAACCGAACCTGAGCTACGGACCTTTATTAAAACATGAGGGTCGGAGTGGGAGCAAGATGATTTGTATAACATTGAAAGTGATGAAGAATAGTGAATGAAAATAAGGAATGAACAACAAGCACATGGCTGTAACTGTAGGTTCATATAAAAAAAGACTTGCATTGATATAGCACCTTTCCAGACTTCTGGATGCCAATTACATTTTCGCAGCCAGAACTGTATTTTGTGAAGTGTAGTCACTATTGTAATACACCGCTATTGAATGCAACTGAAAGATGAGGGAAGGAAAAGAAATGCAGATATTCGCTGGAAAATAACAAACCCAGGCCCTTGCTTTTGTACAGAAATGCTAATAATGTCTGGAACTATCACTTGTGCTACACGCCACAGCAGTTTCCTCAAATAAATGGCATTTGAAAAATGGCTGTGACACGCTGTACAATCTGCAGCATCTGCACAAAACTGATAATCATCCTCCCCGCTAATAAAGTGAAAGAAACACAATGTTTGGAGGTTTGTGCAATGATTATCGAGATTACAATCTGTGGAATCAAGAGAAAGTATTTGTCATTGTTGTCATGGCAGCAGTTAAGATTTTTAAGAAAAACTTAGTCTGCTTCATAATGCAATAATTGTATAAGTGTGCCATTCTGAAGGTATTATTTAATGGACTTTTCGTCAAGAAATGAATCTTCAAATTGCACATTCTCTTCGAAATGTTTTTCCTTTTGCAAATTCACCTCCTTTTGTCAGTCTTTTGTATCCTCACTGTTAGCTCAAGATGCTATGCAGAGTTTCAGACCAGTCTCAAGGAATGATTGAGCCACCCACAAATTGTAACAAGCTTGACATTTGTTAAGAGCAGCGCAAACAGAAAATACTGCGGATGCTGGTAGACCAAAGTAAAAGCGCAAAATGCTGGGAATATACAGCAGCTCGGGCAGCATCTGTGGATGGATGCAGATAAACATGTCAGGGCGTGTGATCATCCAGTTGTTACGATGAAAGGTCCTATCAATCTAAAACGGTCCCTCTGTTTCTCTCCACAGCCTAACCCTCAGAGTTTTCCCAACACTTTTTGTCTTTAATGTATGTCTGCAACAAATGGATTTGTAAATTAAAGCAGTAAAACTCGGGACAAAGTAAAAACACCCACTTTTCCTTTGTGTCACTGAAGGCTGGATTGCAGGTGCAGCAGGCAGTGAGGAAAGCTAATGCCTTTAGCAAGAAGATTTGAGTGTAGGAGTAGTGATGCCTTGCTGCAGTTATACAGGGCCTT